AAATTATATAAATAAATAAATATATATAAATAAATTATATAAATAAATGCAAGATAATACATGTGGATTATCATAATTTGAATTATAAGTATAATTTGGATGGAAATAACCTTAATAGTGTTATGAAGGAAAGGGATCTTGGTGTAAAAGTCGATCAGTCTCTGAAGCCATCCAAGCAGTGTGCTTTTGCTAGTGGTAGGGCAAATAGGAGTTTATGTTGTATCTACAGAAATATTGAATACATGTCTAAAGAGGTTATAATTTCATTGTGCAAGTCACTGGTTAGGCCACATTTGGAATACCGTGTTCAGTCTTGGGCTCCTTACCTTAGGAAAGACATTGAATTTTTTGGAAAGGGTTCAGAGAAGGGTTACTAGAATGGTGCCTGGGATGGAGGGGTTGTCATACAACGAGAGGCTGAAATCTCTCAAATTATTTTCTCTTGAAAAAAGAAGAGTTATGGGGGGGGGGGATCTGATTGAGATGTTTAAGATTGTAAAGGGAATTGATTGTGTTGATGCCTCATCGTTTTTCATATTTAACAGTGAGAAAAGTAGGACTATGAGACACAAATATAAATTTTGGCAAGGTAGGTGTCATCTTCAGCTAAGACAGTTTCATTTTTCTAATAGGGTGGTTGGCCTTTGGAATGTGTTGCCTTCAGATGTTGTAGAGGCAGTAAATTTAAGTGAGTTTAAGAAAAAGCTTGATAAGTACATAAATGAAAAGAGCTGGCTTTAAGGTGTTTTTTAAATTATTTTAATTTAGTTTAGAGGATAAAACAGCCAAGATGGACCAATAGATCCCATGTCGTCCCAAAACATTTTTATGTTATCTCATAACAGCTTATAGTGACAGGTTTTATATATACAAAATAAATTTTTAATATGTAATACTTAGTATCAGCATTACCACTGAAACTGTATATATATATTTTTTTTAATTAAAAATATCCAATATTATTAAATTGTCAGGACAGTTAATTCCTTACGAATGTAAAATTTGCAACTTCTCAAATTGAATAGTTAAGAGTCCTGATATACTAAATGATTTACCACAACTACAATATGGTTTCATTTCCTGGTTTTCTAGTGATGATAGAAATTAGGCAAAAAACTGCTAAAACATGGACTTAACTGCATACCAACACAGTCAGTTATACATATGATACCACAGTTTACAACATATTTCATCAAACATTGCATGTTATTGCAGTCCCATAATGACACAATAACATTATCAGTCTACCCCTTACAGTATGTTATCTTATGTTCACAATGAAATGTATTAAGCAGTTGTTGCTGCACAGTCAGAGACATTTATAATGTTTCACACCATTGTAAACTGCATGGAATTAACTCCATTGTCAACTTATATATTCAAATGAAAATTATAGTTGTTTTTTTTGTAGCTTACCAGAATAAATCAACTTTTGAAAACAGGCTGGATAGTCTTTCCCTTTTTCTGTTTCAATCTTTTCTTTGAAAACTTTTACCTATAGAAAAATGGTAACCCTTGAGAGTATTATGACAATAAAGTTAGAAAAAATGACCTTTTCTCTCTCCACATAATGACAACCTTATTTCAGCCAACATTTCACCATTATGGCTTCACCAGAGTTAGTAGTACAAGGACGTGAAAGTATTAATCATAGAACCTTTTAATATTTTAGATAGGATAGGTACTTCTTTTCAGTTCTAGCAAATTCACACTTTGTTTGTACATGCTTTCTGTCACCTTCAGATTTTTTTTATTTTGCCCTTATTTCCAATTAGTGAGAGTAAAACTTCAGGTCACGTGCTAAAAAGAATTAGAAGACTGAAAAAGCATGGTCATTGGAAACCTCCCAGAGTTCTGAACTGACAAGATTAAAGTAGAACTGAATGTCATGGTTAAGATGTAATAGGGTTATTCTGAGATAACTCTTTCTGTTTCAAGGTAGTTATTAATTCTTATTTCTTTACTTGATGGTATCTTGTATTATCTCGAGGAATAGATAGACACTATAAGAAAATCAGTATGCATTTGTTTAATGCCTTGATGTAGGGGAGGGGGGGATAAGTTATGTGCTTTTTCAACTGAGATAAATATTCTCTGTTTATCACACGAAAAGCAACAGGCCAATTTTTGCTGAAAAAAACAACACTATGCCAGTAACTAAGCATTAAGAAGTGTCAATTTATATTTACAGAACTCCTAATAGATTATAGGAAGTGGACAACACTAAATGTGTTATGACTTCAAACTGACAATAAACACGTGCTCTTACAACAGAAATCTCCAAGATACAACTGATCACAACAAGATATTAAAATCATGTTTTTGAAGCTATTAGGGGTTTGAATATATGTTGGAAACATTTTTATCCTTAACATGGTGAGATTAGGCAAAGTAGCTAGAAACAAGTTAAGTTTTGGTAACCTAGGTCCATATATGGTCTTAGATAAAATTACTGTGAAATAGTATACTTAATAGTTTTATTTTTATAGTATAATTATGTACATGTGTAAGGTTACCTTTATACAGAAAATGAGTTAGTTTTAACTGTCCTACTATTTTGAGTTGACCTGGACAGATGAAAGAACCTTCTTTCTTCTTGTTGGGACAAATTCTTAGATACTGATAAACATACAGCTAAAGTAAATAATGGTAATTTCAAAGTTTGTGAGATTTTCTCATTTATTCTTTTTAAATCAAATTCTGCTCTTTTGATTATAATTTTCCTTGTCTAGCCTTTACATTTCAAGATATTTTTTAGAATATTAGTAGAAAGTTAAACATAGAAAGAACAACTAACAGTGATCAAAATATTAAATTCCCACATTCCTGAGGAATTTAACTATGCTTGAGAACTTCCATCTTTCAGTTAGATTTCCTGACTGGGAATGCATGGTCCATCTGTATTTCTTTAGTTATGACCAATGAAAGCAAACATATTGCATGGATTAAATAAAAAAACAATTCATGAGAGAATGTAATCTTCCTGATAGCTTTCTCTCAAGTGAATGTAATTTTATTTCATTATTTCTATTCCTGACTAAATGAACATGTTCCTTATAACAATTACTAGACCACTAAAAGAACTGATAAAGATGCAGCTTATTAAGATCGAGCTCGCTAAAATCTGAGCAAGTACGTTCAATACAAGTATAGAGCTCAAATATGATCAGGAACAAGGATAGTTTGTTATTAGAAGTCATTTCTACTTGTTTATGTTTATGGACTAACAGAATTGGTAATGATGACTTTGAAGTAAGGAGAAGTGTCAGCTTTAATTTATATTTTCATATCACTAGATACTAGGAAAAGTTTTGTTGATCAGAATATTGCTAATATGATCCAGTTTTTATATAAAATAAGGTTTCAAATGAAGATGTAAGAAATCATACACCCATATATTTTACTATGATTATTTGAAAGTTGCTAGAATTTTCTGTCAGAAAGAATTCAGATAAGAATCTTTAAAGTTGGCAAGAACAATATTCAGAATGGATTTAAGAGGTTTTCTTGCCTTAATATTTTTGATAAAACTTCTATAACAGGATGAAAGTACACAAGTTATATATATCTTAACTTTAAAAATGACTTCAGTAAGGCACAAAAATAAAATGTAATTGGCAAGTTCAAGTTTCATGGAAGAAATGAAAATTTTTTTTAAATGAATACAAAATGGAAGCAAGGGTAGAAAACAAACATCCTCTTAAGAGGTCTATCTTGGCACTTTTTCTATTCGTTATTCTTGCTAACAGTTTGGATAGCTATATGGACAATAGTATTTTCAAATTCACTAGTGAGAAAAACTGATGGAAATTCAGAATAGCCAAGTTAATTTAGTAAATTGACAAGAATTTTAACAAAGCTGTGCAAAAGTTACATTGTGTTTTTTATGTTTAAAATTTAAAATGGGTATTTAGGGGTAGATTGAGTGTGAAGACAAAAACTTAAAGATAGAAGGCATATTCTGCTAGTTTCTTTGATCAAAAGTAAAATGTACCATTTCTCTTTCTTAACAATGTAGTATAAATAAATACAACATAGGTGTAAAAACTTTGTAGTTTAAAATGTCCCGTTATAAAACATTTTATTTTACGGATTTTTTATTTATTTTTTATTTTTTGTGGAGTTTTCTTGAGAAAATGCAATTTAAAATTATTTCAACCAACAACTGTCACCACAATATAGGACTAAATCTTGAACCTACAAATGGGTAAAGTTCCTACTGTACGGTTATTGAAATGTGAACTTCACATTCAATGCTAAATGTAAATGTATGAGATATTATGCAGTATATTTTCTTTGACCTTTCTAACTTTGAGTTGGTTGATAAATTTCGGTTTAAAAGAATCCCAGGACTTCAAAAATAATGATAATACCGATTAACTTTATTACATACCAACTAAGCAAAAATATCAAATAAAAAAATAACTAAGAAAAAAATAAGTCAGATAGAAGTCTCACAACTATATTTAACTTCATATAATTTTAATTTTATTATTAAACAGCCATACAAAATATACACACATAATTTAAATATTATTCTCGCTAATCAAGATGATTATTGAAGCTAAGCCTAAAATGTTTTTGACTTGAAGTTTATGATCCTTGTTAATGCTTGATAATTTTCAATTAAAATGTGATTTGGTCAACAAAATAGTCGCAATTTCAAAGAATGTGGGCATTAACAAAGAGAACACAAAATACTATATATTAATTTTAAAAAACTATTATTAGTATTACTATAGACTATAGTATATAGTGTTTCTATTAACCAACTTGTGTCGACTGTATAGCAAGTTATTATATAACTTATAAGTTATGAGCCTAGATTCTAGTACTGGACTGCGGCTTGTAGTAACACTAATAATGATAAAACAGTCTAGTACTAGTAGCTGTTGTACTACTAGTACTATTACTTTGTAGCGTAATAGTAACACTAGCAATGCTATACTATAGTTTGCACTTGTACACTGTATTATAGGATTTGTACTTTATAGCAGACCGTATTTCCGAATGCACTAAATTATTAATATTAGTAAATACCACTATGAAATAGTAAATACAATACGAACAGGATATAATAAAACTTACAGTCTCTGATGGATCGATTTCGATCCTGAAAGTTTGTTGTTGAAGCGTCTTTAGTGTTATGATCATTCTGGCAAATATCTAGAAAAATTATGTCTCTTAAATCGCGTGGTGACTTATTCACACTACCGCTTATAAAACACCGTGCATTTGTGGACATTAAAACGTGACGTCACTATATGTCTTATGCAAGAAATCACGAACTAAGGCAAGAATATTAAAATAAATAATTACAAAGCCTTGCAAAAACAACAAAAGAATAAGTACATATATAAAATATTATATGATAGATACAAATTAATATTTTTTCCTAAATTGGGTATTAATGATTAAATGCAAAGGACAAGAAAATGTGAAACAAATTTATATAAGGCATGTTGCAGTTTTCGCTATCTTTCCGATAAGAAGCCAAAAGAGCCAAAGTCACTTTTAATTAAGGGGAATTTTATACTCTACTTGCTTTAGATATTAGAACATAATGTTAATTGGTTACTGAAAATATTGTTGCGCTTTTAACCAAAATGGGATTTCATTCAGAATGGATGTGAGGGTCGAAACGATTTCAAATTTAGAAAATTTTATAAATATAAAATACTATATTTTTGTTAATATTCGAATGGTCTTTCTATTAACAGAAGATTAATACAGTAAAATGTTACTTTTTTCAGTTAAACTCAGTAATGAAAGAAAAAATTAAACAAAACACAATACTGTACCTACCATATCATGTTTATATCATTACATAGTTGTCGATATTTCTACCATGATTTTAAAGTATAAAGAGTATATTACTTCTTATATTTCTTACATAGTTATGTACTGTTACGATAGCGGAAGTCACGTGACGCTGGTAACACGTAATGAGTATCTAGAAAGATCGAGGAACCTGTCGAACGTCCTAGCGTTTGCTAGACTCGCACTCTTATAGTATATAAGCCGGCAAATAAAGTGACGGCGATAATTGAATTGCAGACAGAGAGATATAGAGACAGATAATCTAGTCAAGCCGTAAGTAAAGTGCGTGAATCGTTGTGAATTCTAGCGTGTGTTTAAGTTAAAGTGACTGTGGCAATTAAGTGTACTACAAAGTTGAATTGAGAAAGAATAAACATAGCTTCTGCGTCTGAGTAAACCCTTGTGAGTATCTAGATGATGGATCACAAAGGAATACCACAAGCCATACAGAAGCTCTGTGGAGTGATAGGATATTCTGCAAGGTTGTGGGGACCAGTGTGGGTAACTATTGAGCTCACAGGCATGAAGGACAGACACAAAGTATACTTGGCTGACATTGAAGACCAATGCATATTAGGGTTGGACTACTTACTAACGAGGAAGTTTGTAATTAATTTTGATAAAATAACGTTTGGGAACAACGAAGGCCAAATTCCGGTAAGTGTTAAAAGAGAGGTTGAGCTAACCAGGTGTCATCAAGCTGAAGTCAAAGTGACTGAAGGAGTTGATGATGGTGAAGTGAAACCATGTATAGATATTAAATCAGAGCAGGATAAAAAATTCCAAGATTTGAAGCCAATAATTGATTTTCTAAAAGCAAGTGTTTTGCGCCCTGCTTGGGAGAAAGTGTCTTGTCTAAGCCCTGTGACAAAGAACTATTGGGCACAATGGGACCAATTGAAGCTTGAAGATGGTATTCTTCTCTGGAGATGTGAAACTGCAGATGGGAAAGTGACGACCTGGAAAACGGTTATGCCGAGAAAGTTACGGAAAGTTATGCTGCGTCAATCCCATGATACATTAACAG